CAGGCTTGGCAGCGGCGCTGGGATCGTTGTGTTCACTCCCAGGGGAACTATTTCGAGGGTGATGGATGAATTTAATACCTGAGATAAGTGTACGGGTTTTTATACGCGCAGTCTTGAAACTTTCCGATCGCACCTCGTATGAACAGGTCCCAGTCCGAGAAAAGGATGGAAGGATCCTGTTCATATGGACCTGTCGTCAGACAGAACACTAAATAATAATAATAGCCTCTTGGTCGCTGGAAATTAAGCGTAATTAAGATGTCTCCACAGTGATGTCACTGTGCAAGTCTCCAGACAGAAAAGGTTCATTCTTGATATGTTATCGTACCAGTTCTATGAACGACCTTTCTCGATTGCATTCAGTGCTAAAATATTAAGTTTTTTGTACTGGAAAGGAGACATTACTTTGGTTTATTGACGCCAGTTTCTGCTGCATTTGGGTGTTAAGAATTAAAATGGCGGCTGAAATAGGAACAATGCATCCGCATAGATTATGGAAGGACTTATGGTTGAGATGACTGTCATTCAGAAGAGAAATTGAAAGTGAGGATATTTTATCACTCCACCGTTAGTGAGTAAAACCAATGTTTACATTTCTGTAAGCGTTGCATACAGAAGTGTTATTCATATCAATATAGAGGGAAAGTTAATTTTGAGTTTACATTTACGAAAAACTTAAGGCACCCATAATTTATAATAATTCTTGTGTTACAATGTAGTATAAAACGTTAATATGATATTCGTTGATTGTTTCAATCAGACGGAAGAGTGTGTTATTCAGCCATTAAGAATTCGTTCACTCCTGCCAAATAGAATATTATGAATTTTAAAATGATTTCTAAATAAATTGAAAGGCGTATGAAAAAATTGCCAGAATACCCAATTTTAATTCGAAACTATGTCTGACATTACTACATGAGAAGCTGTTAATGTTAAATTCACTATTAGAAAATGTTTACATTTAAATATTACCGATTTATACCAGAAGTAAGATATTCTAAGATGAAAATTTACATGAGAAGAAGAAGAAGAAGAACGAATTATTTGCCTACATATCAGCAGAATGTCACAACAAAAGTAATAAATAGAGAGAGGTATTTTATGATTATTTAATGTGTTACTGTAGACGTGTGACTTTGTGTCAATGACGGCAATAATATTGATCCTGATGACTTATTATATCATCATAGGCAGCCTAACACTGAGATCATAGGTTCGAAAGCCATTTGATCAATGGATGGTTTCTACGTT